CAACCAGCGTCAGGGTTATCACGCATATGGCAAAGACCCCCCAGGTGCATTGGCTGATCTGTATTCCTACAGAAACTGGAACAAGAAGGGTCAGAGCAGCCTGCTGGTAATGAATTACCGCCTCACGGGAGCTTCAACCATTTTGGATATTATTTGCAATAGAAAGATGAGATACAAATGGACAACAGTCACTAAATAAAAACTTTCCAAAGACTCCTGGATTGTACTTACAATAAAATCTACACAAATATCTCTCAATATACATCATCCTTCTTTTTTTTAATATTTATTTTTGAGAGACAGAGAGAGAGAGAGTGAGCACAAGAGCATGGGGGAAGGGGCAGAGACAGGGGGAGACAGAGGATCCAAAGCAGGCTCCATGCTCTCAGCGCAGAGTCTGATGTGGGGCTCAAACTGATGAACTGTGAGACCATGACCTGAGCTGAGGTTGGATGCTTAATTGACTGAGCCACCCAGGCACCCTCATGCATCATCCTTCTTAATGACTAGAATCCTCCTGGCCTTCTTTGTCTTCCTCAAACATGATAAGCTAATTCTCATGATTTTTGAGAAAGACCTTCCCCCCAATTTTGGCAAGGCTGTCTCCTTTTGATTCAGTCTTCTGTTCAAATACCACCTAATAATTAAGTCATCCCTAACTACCTCCTCTACATGACCGACCTCCTAGTATGGCAACTTGTTTTAGTTGCCATAGTTTAGTTCTTCATTGAACTGTTCACTATCTCCAATAATTTGTTTATGGATTCACTTGTTCATTTTCTGTTTTTTTCAATTTCATGAAAAGGGAAACTTCATGGACACTGAATGAATGAACACTTGATGGTACAAACTCAGAGCAATTGGGGGCACTTGATAGTACCTGACACCAAAACTTAGTAACAGAGAATTTGTTTTCAGCATATTATGTTCACTCCAGTCACTAAGCCAGCCTAACACAGAACAAATAGTATAGACTCTAAATTAGAGAAAAAAAGTCTGTGATTTAAATTTTGATTTTACTACTTATTATCTGGGTAAACTTGTGTAAGTTTCCCTTAACATGGAAATGATAATATGGAACTTACCAGTTTTGTTAAATAATCCACATAACTCACCTAGAGTTGTGACCGACTCAATATGTTCTTAAAAATTGGTAGGTATTATGGCTATCATCATCTTTTAAGTAGTAAATTTTTGCACCTGTTCTTTGTTGTTCTAGAGACTATAACTAGAATGAAATCCATTATTCCCTCTTGTCCAGCATCCTTACTTTGTTCCTTTTGTGACAGCCGATTGGTGTGGACTTCTGTGATGCTGAGCCTGCCCAAGAATGGGCACATGACTTGGGTCTGGCCAATGAATGCCTCCTTGGGTCTTTTGGTGGAACTCTCTGTGGAGGAGTAACGGGGGTGGACACATTCTCTTCTTTGACTGCAACACTGGTCTGCAGTGACCATCTTTACCCAAATGTGTAACAACAATGAAGCCCACACAGAGGAAAAAAGTACTAAGAGACAGGGAAAGAAAGCCCCCCCCCCCCCCCCCCCCCCCCGCCGCTGAAGACCATATCCTTGGATCTAGCTGTGCCTAACGCAGCCAGCACCACATGCCTTGAATACACCTGTTACATATGCCAATGCATTATTTTGTTTACACCAGTTTGAGTTTGGTTTCTGAAACTTGTAATCTAAAGAACGCTTTCTAAAAAAAACACTAGTTCATTTATTTATGTTTGTTGGTTTGTTGTAAGGTTAAGGAGTAAAAACAAAAAAAAAAGGCCTTTTCTGAGGTCTAATTAGCAAATAAACAAAGTAACATCAAGAATGATATGGTTTTCAGTGAAAGTGTTAAAAAGGCTCTGGGTTATAATGAACTAGAGACACCTGAGGGTTATTTTTCTACAAAGGATAGTAACAGCCCCTTTAAAGAAATGGTCAACGTTGGTCTGTAGCCCCCAAAACCAAAAAAAGATTGCCCAAGAGTAGTTTCAGAGTATTTATGGTTACAAAGTAACAGGAAAAATTAAGGAAGAAATTAACAGCCTTATTCAAGAAATAGGCAGGAAGAAAAGGCATTACTGGAAGTAAAGAGGAAAATAATTGTCTTCCTGTGCAAAGGAAATCTAATATGCAACAAATAGGATATATAGCAGCTAATTACTGACAAGAGCACCAATTAGTCCTGAGGGGTTTGTGCTTTTGAAAATGTTTTCTCTAGAAAAGATACATGAAAATGTTTTATGTGAAGAGGATAGCATGCATTAATACACATGTTGTTTATCTTCATAAAAAATCTTAAACATCAGGTACCTGTTATATGTGAGTATCCATTATAATTCTGGTTAAAAAAACAAAGATCCACAGGGGCATGAATGTTAGGTGACATCCCCACTGCTCTCTGGCTTGTTGTATCTAAATAATTTCATGCAACTCAACATACATTTTGGAGAACTTCTTATGCAAAATACTTTGACAGACACCATGGGAAACACCAAGATAAATGTATCCCTCATCTTTTTTTTTATTATTTATTTTTGAGAGAAAGAAAGAGAGATAGAGAGAGACAGAACACTAGTGCATAGGGGGGCGGCAGACAGAGAAGGAGACACAGAATCCCAAGCAGGCTCCAGGCTCTAAGCTGTCAGCACAGAGCCCAAAGCAGGTTTAAACTCACAAACCGATGATATCATGACCTGAGCCCCAGATGCTCAACCGACTGAGCTGCCCAGGAGCCCCAGTGTATCCCTCATCTTGAAGAGCTAATCATAAAATAAAGATGAGAGATCTATACACATAACGGTATCATCAGGGAGAAAAACGGAATTCCATAGTAGTCATAAATAAAGTAAAATGAAAGACTGGCAGAGTGGTTGGACATTTATTTAGCCAAGGGCAGTGCTTCTGAAATTTGAGTGTGTGTGAGAATCACCTGCAAGGCTTATTATAACCCAGACTGCTGGGTCTACCTAAGATTTTTTTTTAACAAGTTTGCAGATGGCACTGACATTGCTGGCCTGGGGGTCATCCTTTGAGACCTCTGGAATCTAGGGCACCTGGGGGCTCAGTCAGTTGAGCATCTGGCTCTTGGTTTCAGCTCAGGTCATGATCTCATGGTTCGTGGGTTCGAGCCCCACATCGAGCTTCATGCTGAAGGTGTGGGGCCTGCTTGGGATTCCCTCTCTCCCTACCTCTCTCCCCCTCTCAAAATAAATAAATAAACTTAAGGAAAAAAAGTAGTATAAAATATTTTTTATAAACAGAACTCTGGGATCTAGGGAATTGCTTTTCAATTCCAGCTGCACATCAGAAACTCCTAGGAGACTTCTAGACAGTCTAATGCCCAGGCCTCATCCTAGCCCAATAATAAAAGAAAAATATTGTATTAAGAAGAGCATACTACAGCCGGACATTGAATCACTGGAATAGTAGCTTTATAAGCAGCTGGAGATGGAAGACCAGATGCTAGGTGGATGGTGAAAAGTCATGGAGCAAGGAGACTACAGTGCATGATTGGATATAAGGAGAGTACAGCATGGCTGGAGCACAGGTGGAGAAAAGAAATCTCAGGTCAAGTCATGAAAGATCTTGACTGCCAGTGTAAGGAGGTTGTGAGTCCTTTTGGGGACAATAAGAAATCACCAAATATTTTGAGCAAGAAGAGTGACATAGTAAGATAGATAACTTAAAATTATTATCTGGAAGCAAAATCTTGAGATTAAAACAACATGGGGTCTTAGAGACAGGTGATTGGTCAGATTGACCAAGACTGGGCAGTGTTAGTGGACACACCATTTAAGAATTTAAGATGAACTTTTTTGTTTTTTCTTGTGAAAGGAGTCAGTACATTGTATGTCTTTGAGAAATAGTGACCTAGATGAGAGAGTAAAGTGGGGGCAGTCCAAGAGACATTTCTGTCAGACTCATCAGGATCTCCAACTATATTTTAGGAAGGAAGAGAAAATGAGAAGTCAAAAAGATACTGGGGGTTTTGAGGTTGAGAGCTTCAGAAGTGATTAACGTGACGGAAGAAAAGTAAAGAACCTATGGAAAGGGATTGTGTGAGGCAGGGGAAGCAAGAGAAAGCATCTGTGGTGAAAGAGCCTACCCTTCGTTCATATGACGAGAACGAATACCTCTTCCTGTCAGGAATTTTAGGAATTAATTTATCTTCATAGTCTCGCCATATTGTGGACAAAACCAAAAAATGTTATAATAGTTATAATGGAAGACGAAATAAAATATAATATAAAAACGATTTTTGAATCATTAAGGCTTAAGGTAGAACAAGAGTATTTTTTCTCTTAAAAATAAAAGCTGTAATCTGTAAGTAATTTAAAAAGATAATCTCTTCGCAGAATAATTCATCAAGTAAGAGGGAGTTATATATGCTAATAATTTGTTGAAAATTGAAGTTTGAATTGTAACACATTTCCCTTTCACTTACTGTGACTAATCTTCCCTGCCATTGGTTATTTTGCCAGTAACACTATTTTTAGAGGGGGGAAAACAGCAAAATCGAAACATTAATATATGTATTTGAAAGTAGATATTTTTCCAATACCAAGTCAATGCTGTGACATAGCTTCTGTGTTAACCACATTCTTCTCTCACTGTCAGGATGCCAGGTGTTTAATGGTACATAAAGGAGCCTATTTTATTTGCCCTTAATTCACTGAAACCTCCTAGGGGACACCACTATAAAATATCAATGCTTTTTTCCCTCCCTGCTAATGATCTAATAAATATTTAATTTTTGATCTTCTTCAGCAATTAAGACAATAGCATGAAAATTTTCAAACACTGTTTTTCGATTTTATTTTCAAAAAGTGTACTTGTTAGAATATTTGAAATATTAAACCTTAAATAAAAAGACATCATATCAGAAGGAGTATCATCATCAATCATTTAATAACGAGTATGTCAAGACCTCTATTGCTCTGCTCTTGTCAAAATACAAACACTTACCTTCTTACTTTAAAAAAAAACTGAAAAATTACATACCTGAGTTTCTGGTTATATTGTTTGACTTTTTCCAATGAGGCTGCATTTATCTGGGCTTGAAATTCTTCCACCGAAACATTGTCTCTATAATAATACCCTTCCATGCTCTCCAGTGCTGTGTAAACAAGTAAATTACTTTTTAACGTGATTTTATAACTCAGTGTCTCCACATTTACTTTAATCTTACTGATTATTAGTAAATGTATTTAAAACACTGAATATGACCACACATGCAAGAAACTATCTTTCACCAGTCCAAAACTGAATGAAAATCATTCTTCTGCTCTAAAAATAAATATCAAACATTTGGTGATTCTATCTAAGTTGGCAAAGATAATTTGTAATTTAAATTGTCTTCTACTTTTAAAACATTTTATATACATTCTTTGTGAAGCTAAACTCAAACTTCACATATTTATATGTATAAGCACACATATGTATATATATATGTACATACACACATATACCTATGTACATTGCATATATACGTGCATATGTATGAGAGGCAGAACTGTGTATTAACATACATAAGAGTAAAAATGTTGAAACTGCTGCTCTCCGTGTCTATTCACATTCTCTTGTAGTTGCAGTTAAATCATGAAATATTAGTGTAATAAATCAGAAGCATAGATAATCTTAGAATACTAGCTTTACTACAATGCTTAATTTAGTTAATAAACATAAACATATAACTTTCCATTAATTTTAAACATCTTTTGGTTAATACGGATTTCTTTCTTAACTAACATTTTTGGTTAAGTATTTCTTTTTTTTAATACTTATTTATTCATTTTTGAGAGAGAGACACAGAGAGAGAGAGAGAGAGAGAGAGAGAGCACGCATGCGCACACGCACTAGTGGGGGAGAGGCAGAGAAAGACAGAGGGAGACCCAGAATCCAAAGCAGGCTCCAGGCTCTGAGCTGTCAGCACAGAGCCCATGTGGGGCTCAAACTCACCAACCATGAGATCATAACCTGAGCCGAAGTCGAACGCTTAACCGACTGAGCCACCCAGGCGCCTCAAGTATTTCTTTTTCCTTTAAACTTTATGGGATGGCACTTTTAACCTTTTGCAGAAGAAATGAATCACAAGGAAGTGCCTAGAAATACAACATCTCCTACAGAGAGGTTGCCAGCAACAGGAATGGCAATGGATCCAATTTGGAAATTTAAATGATTTCCCCTTGAGATTATTGCCACTGATAAACCTCAGTTTTCAGCAGACTGTTTCAAAATTGATAAAAAAATTAATCTTTCAAACTGCTAAATGCAATAGCTTCTAAATTAAATAATACATTTCTTCAAATTGACAGAAACTTATCACCATTTTGGAGACAAAAATAGGAAACTCATTATTAACTTTTTTTAATGGTTCATGCTTTTATTTAAATTCCAGTTAGCTAAGATATAGAGTAATATTAGTTTCAGGAGTAGTTAGTGATTCATCATTTACATATAATACCCAGTGCCAATCCCAGCAAGTTCATTGCTAATTTTTGCTGTGCTGCTTTCTCAACTAGTCAGATTTCCACAGCACTGAAGAAACAACAAACCTTTAGAGTATTGCTCAATTTGAAATTAAAAAAAAATGGCATTATTGGCCTATAATTGAGAAAAACACTTATGGAAAATTAGTGAGAATGCTGACTACATTTGCTTCAGTTACATGATATCAAATTTGGGAGCTTGTTTGAAGGATTACGTGTTTTTTTCCTTATGAGTTCTGCATTAATTAGAATATTTGCAAGTGGTTCAGCAAGCTTCTGGTCCTGAATACACACAAGAAAGAAAAGGAAGTCTTCCCGATAAAACAATCCTCACATAAATGCCATGTTCACTTCCATTAATGAGATGTTATTTGTGAGAGGCAAATATTCAGAGGATTCAGTCATCCTTCAATGTGAATTCCTCTTATTAGTTGGAGAGCTAATAATGAAAATCTTTGCATTGAAGTAAAACCACCACTTCCACTCCTTAGTAGCTGTGTGACCTCAAGCATGTTAATTAAAATCCAAGATCCTCAGGTTCCTCATTTGTGAAATGGAAAATAAGAGTGCTTACTAACTATGATTCTTGGGAAATAAATAAATGAAATAATAGTATTAAGAGAACCCATGACTATTCTTTTCATTTACTCACTGTGTTTTATATATTAGGCAACATGCCCAGTGCCCCACAGGCATTATCTAATTCAATTTCCAGGAGATATAGATTATGCATGAGTGTGCTTAGCCAAACAGGAAGTTTTGGGAACTAAGAGGAGGGTCCATGCAAGGACACTTCAATTTGTGATTTAAGATCAGAAAGACTGGAAAGGGTACGGTAGGAAGGAGCAACAGGGAAAGTAGCGGTTGGGGGTGGGGTGGGATGAATAAGAAAACACCTGGGGTCTAATTTTTACAAACGTCATTTTTTGTTGGTTTTTTTAGCAATTTTTTGTAAAGTTTACTTATTTATTTTGAGAGAAAAAGAGAGCAAGCACGTGTGTACAAGTGGGGAGGGACAGAGAGAGAGAGAGAGAGAGAGAGAGAGAGAGAGAATGCATCCCAAGCAGGCTCCACACTGTCATCATAGAGCTCTATGAAGGGCTTGAACTCACAAACCATGAGATTATGACCTAGCTGAAGTCAAGAGTCGGACACTTAACAAGCTGAGCCACCCACGTGCCCCTATAAAGTTCTTAATGGCTCAGTTTTGGCCAGAATGTCCAGTCCTACTCTAAAATCTTATTGCCATCTAAAAACAAACTGGCATTTTTATGACATTCCTTGGCAATATTTCCAAATTAACAACAGATAAAATGAACAATTACATAGAACTTTTTTAAAAATGGGGAAAATGTATGACAATTTTGCAGAGTCTCAGCAAACTGTTATGGCAGATGTGTAGGGTTGTGAGGAAATGAACAATGACAAAAGAGGAGTTCTATATTTAAAAACTAAACTGTATAGCAACGAAGAGGAAGGAGAAAAACATTCTCAATTTTAGATGAATACCTTGGTTATTTATTGTTATAAATACAAGAAAATGAGATAATGTTTTGCCAAATTCAATTTCTACACTCAGCAAAAGTATGTTAAATACATAATAATGTCCAAATTTCCAAGTTTAGCCTCTTCTCAGCATTTGCTTGTCTAGTTTCCTTAATTCTCATCTAAACAACAATATATTTCTTAGTAGTAGTATTGACATATTTGGTTGAATAAATATTTAATAGCATTTAATTAAAAGCAGTATTGAAAATATGACGAATTTCTTTGTTTGCTTGTTTTCCTTCTACCCCTTCCGAATTTGAGGAAGCAAATCATCCCATCAAACTTAGGTGGTCACGAAAATGGAAATTAAATTATTCTAAGACTGAAAATGAACTGAATTTCTACTCACTCAAAATACCTTTCAAGGCTTTTCCAAGAAAGGGACTGACCAGGAAAAATACAGAATATCTGAAGAACAATTTTAAGAATTGTTTCAACAAACTAACACTCTTTCCTGACAGCATGATGACACTTCAGTGGTTAACTAATACACGACATATGCACCGGCTCCAGTTGGTCAGAATTCTTCAGAACTGGTCACAGTTTTCATGAGGAAAGCAAGTTTTATCAATCCTATTGAGACCAGCATGTGGTTGTACTGCCCTTTATTTTTTTTAATTTTTTATTATTTTGTTTTAATATATGAAATTTATTGTCAAATTGGTTTCCTGTACTGCCCTTTAAAGAGGGGTGAGCTCACATGTTTACAGACCGATTCTAACATTTAGGAAATCTTAATTCTGGGAACTGTTCCTTCATTTATAACACTACCAGGTATTTATCCAAAGGTTACAAAAATACAGATTTGGAGGGGTACATGAAGCCCAAATGTCCACTCACTGATGAATGGAAAAAAAAGATGCGGTGTGTGTGTCTATACATATATATGTACATAATATACACATATTATGGAATACTACTCAGTCATCAGAAAGAACGAAATCTTGCTATTTGCAACAACGTGGATGGAGCTAGAATGTATTATGCTCAGTGAATAAATCAGTTAGACAAATACCGTATGATTTTACTCCCATGTTGGAGGAGAGGGGAAGACAGGGAAACAAACCATGACAGACTTGTAAAGATAGAGACAAACTGAGAGTTGATGGAGAGAGGTGGGTGGGGGGATGGGCTAGATAGGTGATGGGTATTAAGGAGGGCAGTTGTTGTGATGACCACTGGGTGTTGTGTGTAAGTGATGAATCACTGAATTCTACTCCTGAAACCAGTGTTGCACTCACTGTATGTCAACTAACTAGAATTTAATTAAAAATTTGGGGAAAAAGTTATTTAATGTTTCAATTTCAAATACTGTATAAAACCCACAGAGAATACAAAGGGATTCATCTTTTAAAGAACCCAGAGTAGGGTTTTGCAAACACTCTAAAAAAAAAAATACTCGAATGAAGGCAGCTTAGAAAAATGACAATATTTGTAAAAAAATGTTCCCTTTTGTTTAACAGAGAAATGCTGGGGGTGCCTGGGTGGCTCAAGTTGGTTAAGCATCTGACTTCGGTTCAGGTCATGATCTTGCAGTTTGTGGGTTAGACCCTCCATGTCGGGCTCTGTGTTGAGAGCACGGAGCCTGGAGCCTTCTTTGGACTCTTGTGTCTATTTCTCTCTATGCTCCTCCCCTGCTCACACTCAGTCTCTCCCTCTCTCTCTCAAAAATAAATAAAAACATTATAAAAGAGAAAACACTATATACTGGAATACTTTTTAAATTTTTAAAAAAATAGAAGAGAAAATCTTCAAGTTTCTGGTTGATTTTAATTATTCTCTGAGAACAGAAGGACACCCTGTAAAGAAGTAAAAGTCAGCATTTACAGTTTGTGGTGCCAGCCTTTTTCATAAGGGCTGAAAAACAAATATACACAAGAGTGTTTGTGGAGAAAGGACTGGCACAGCATGTCCTATCTAGTGTAAGGAAAACCACCATAAGAGACCCAGGAAACAAGTACTTATCACTACTTTACAAAGAAGAGATGCCATATTCTAGGGCACAGCATAACTAACATCAAAGACCTTTATGTGATGCCATGTCCCTAGTACGTAGGATACATGGGGCTGGGAACCAAGA